ATTGGCAGGTGGGGTTTGGGCTACGGTGTACTTGGGGGGTGTACTATCTAACTCCACGAAAGTCGAGAAGGGCATTCTGCCTGTCTGCTGCTTTTAATTTTTCATTTTACGATTCCAAACCAGCGTTGATTTTTCCCATTATTAGTCTCGAGTCTTGGTGGAAGAAGCTGGGGCGTGGTCTGAAGAATTTCCGCTCGACACTGTAGGAAATCCAGCGCGTATAACATGTAAAGGAAAGGATAGAGATTTTGAGGTAACTCCCTTTCTCTCGTTTTTTGATATTTTATCACATTTTAGTCATCTATCGTGTCTACTCTACATATCCATTCTATTGCACTATTTACATTTTTGTAGCTTACCGTGGACATTAAACTTTGTTCATCTGGTCTGACAAAAATCGTCACTTTCAATCCCTTCTATCTTGTTTCCAATCTTGGTAAATGGGATATGCAAGTCAGAGAAGAAGGACAGTCAGCATGGCTGGATGTACCTGCAGAGAAGGTGGATGCTGTTTAATGTTTTATATTGACAAAATACGTAGATGTTTTTCAGTGCGTCGGAGTATGGCCAACACAAAAGTCAAAGCGGAAATTCCTCTGTGCTAGATATACCGGGCAGCAGCAGGAGTCTCTCCTGTTCCCGATTACAGAGAACTTTGACACCCTTTGTCAGGTGATAGAGTGCCAGAAATCTCTTAACAAATTTTTTTTTCAACTACTCTCTTCTAGATTGACAACGATAACATTGGTGTTGAAGTTTGCGTATCCACATCGGAATCGTCGGTAGCTATCCACTTGACACCGTTCCAACCTGGTATGGCTCCTGTCTGCATTATGAATCACCTCAACGTAAGTTTGAATAGTTCACAATTGATTATCATGAGTATTCTTATCTTATAGGTTCCTGTGAATTTCGGTCAGAAAGGACATAAGATGGATTCGCTTGCCAGTAATGAAATGATTTTCTTCACTTGGGACAATGTCACTGAGGAGAGGATATTGCGGGTTAGTTCATCTTTTACT